ATATTAAAATGTTGACGAAATTCCCGCTGGGTTTTGATGATAGATTCGCCATTTTGGACAAAAGTATCGTATGCGAAAACTCGATGGTCTAGGGTCCACTAAGCCATTTCAACAAAAATGGCAAGCCTCACTGAAGGTAATGACATAACCTCAATCTTCCTACCACGTGCGACAACAATGGAACAGCTGTTTAAAAAACGTCCGGTTCCTTTGTGTCACCCTGTATTATTTATAGTTTGTTTTAGTTATAGAATGTAACGAATTTCAACTAAGTTACTGTTTATCATTGAATTTATTCTTGAAACTATGTACAGTTAGTCCTGTATTTTGGTAGCCTGTTTGATATTCCAACTACGCATTTATACCTACTTAAATCATAGCTTACAATCGCCTGATGGAATGAATACAGTTTTATTTCCACTGAAACAATCCTCCGACAACGACAACCCCATAGTAAGCCCGGGGATCAGCAGCTTGGGGAACATACTTGGGGCTTCTTGCGACACTAAACTCAAATACCTCCATCGTGGCCACGGGTAATCAATAAAACCACACACAAACTGTAGTATATTTGATGATTTTATGTATTCAATATTATATTTGTAAAACAGCGTTTCTTGTAGGAAACCAGATTTGTATAAAATGTAAGTGTGTGTTTGTGTGTGTGTACATCACGCCACGTCTGTGACGTCATATCAGGTGATTTTTAATAAATTCCCATTGGCTGCCGCGACCACGCTATACCCGTGCATCTAACCACTACGTCAGTCCGTCCTAGTCCTGCAACCGTACACCTTTATCCCGGTCCGTGCAGCCCGTGGTATTATCTAATTATGTAGTTTTTATTTCTCACTAGTCCCGTCTCCTGTCAAGTTAAGACGTCGTCACACCGGCGACGTCACACTGGCGAAGAGGAAGTTACAGTGATAACGATGGCATTATTAAGAACCTAACTATTCGTGTGTGCGGTGTAACTGTTCGGCCGTATTTTTATAAGTATTAGGGTTAATGTCCGATTACGACAACCCAGTGTTAATTTTATCTCGTGTCTTCTTTGAACAAGATACAATGTCTGGAATCATCGGCGGAATCGGAGACTTTGACGGGAGTGAAGAATCTTGGACCTCGTACGTTGAAAGGTTTGAGTTATTTGTCGAGTGTAACGGGATTAGTGATGCCAAAAAAGTGAGTACTTTATTGACAGTAGTCGGGAAGAAAACGTACAATCTGTTACGCGATTTGTGCACGCCCGATAAACCTAACGCAAAATCTTTTAAAGATATAGTAAAGTTAATTCAGGATCATTTACATCCTAAACCATCATTCATCGCGGAACGTTACAAGTTTAGTAAACGCAACCAATTAGAGGGGGAAGGAGTTGCCGAATATGTAGCAAATTTGAAGAAGATGTCCACGCACTGTGAGTTTGGCGCATCGTTGAACGACTTTCTTCGAGATCGTCTAGTCAGTGGAATAAGAAGCGACACTATCAAACAGAAACTGTTATCAGAGTCCAGTTTAACGTTTGATCAAGCTGTGAAAATCGTCTCATCAGCGGAAGCGGCGGAGAAGAATGCAGCGGCGTTGACGGTCGGCAGCAGCGGCGGCAAGGTGTTGCGAGTGGCAGCGGCACAACGACGACGAGATTCAGGGAGCAGCGGCGGCGCTCAGCAGCACAATCAAACGTCAAAGTCAACACCTCGACCTCAACACAAATCAGTGCAGTGTTTTTGTTGTGGTGGCTTCGGTCACATGAGAAATGAGTGCAGATTATTGGGTGTTGTGGTATGTCATTTTTGTGGAAAAAAGAATCATTTATCTAAGGTGTGCAGATCAAAGCTGTTAGGTAAGTCAAACAAAAATTATACTGTTAAGAATGATAAGAACAATTTGAAAACTGAAAGGACTAATGGACAGTTTAGTAAAAACAACAAAATACATAACTTTGTTTCTGACAGGAAATCTCAGATAAATTCTAATGATAGTTGTGATGAGTATGTTGACGATATTGCTACACTATTTCAAATTGAGGAATGCGCATTCTGAAACCGTATGTGAGCCGGCAGTGGTACCATCAGCTGATCCCCCCAAAACTCCGTTACAGCAATCCCACTCCCAATATAAAAATAGACACAGCATATCCAACCGATCACCTGATCATAGTACTCCTGCTACACGTCATACTTCCTTCCCCTCCTCACCTAGCACTCCCATGGTCCGTTCTCCACAACAATCGCCCATTGTACATCCCCAAACACCTGTTACTACAACAGCACGTAGATATCCCAGTAGAATAATAAAACCAGTCGAACGCCTTGATTTGTAAAAATTGTATGTGTGATTTTTGAAGTTTGTTTTTGAAATTAATAGTTTTGTTTTACTTGTTTTAAACTTTTATATTTGCTGAGATGTGTATAAAAATTACACGGGAGGGATGTAGTATATTTGATGATTTTATGTATTCAATATTATATTTGTAAAACAGCGTTTCTTGTAGGAAACCAGATTTGTATAAAATGTAAGTGTGTGTTAGTGTGTGTGTACATCACGCCACGTCTGTGACGTCATATCAGGTGATTTTTAATAAATTCCCATTGGCTGCCGCGACCACGCTATACCCGTGCATCTAACCACTACGTCAGTCCGTCCTAGTCCTGCAACCGTACACCTTTATCCCGGTCCGTGCAGCCCGTGGTATTATCTAATTATGTAGTTTTTATTTCTCACTAGTCCCGTCTCCTGTCAAGTTAAGACGTCGTCACACCGGCGACGTCACACAAACTCACAGTTTTCACCTTTCTTGGTTTTGTTTCTCATCCAATGATCGAATAATTAGTCAATATTTGTGCTGGCCATTGGGTTACAGATCGAATGGTTATTTATTATTCAGGCGCTTTGTTTGATAGCATGAAGACTGTTCGATTCAGTTTATCTATGTATATGTTATATACCATGTTTCTTTGAAACCTTTTTTCTCAGCTCGTGTGCATCTCAGGGAGAATCTACGCATACTGTTACTGTTAGAAAGATATTTGCCTGTAGCTGTGCAGAATCCCTTTATAAATTAAAATAGGTTAACAAATAAGCACAAAAAATAACATGTTTTATTTATAGTGTGGGGTGAAAATAGAGTAGTCTGTACTGTACATTGCATATTTTTGGTCGAGTTTTCGACCACTGGACGACCTCTAGTATATTTTAATAGGCAAGCATGTTTCTTTAAAACCTTTTTTCTAAGCTCGAGTGCATCACAGGGAAAATCTACGCATACTGTTGGAAAGATATTTTCCTGTAGATGTGCAGAATAACATTATGAATTAAAATAAGCTCAAAAATAAGCACAAAAATGAAGTTGAAATTTAAAAAAATAACATGGACCTTATGGTTTGCCATACTGGTGACCAAATAACAACGAAATATAAACAGAAAAGAAAAACAAATGAAAGAAATTCCAATCACATGTTTTAATTTACAGCTTGGGGTGAAAACAGAGAAGTCTGCAAATTGCATATTTTTGGTCGAGTTTTCGACCACTGGACGACCTCTAGTATATTTTAATAGGTACAGCTCGTGACATCTAAGCTGGCACTTGGCCGATCGCTAATAGTACCTTTTTCAAAAACATTATGTCTCGTCATGCGGGTTGCATAAACTGTCCTCGCGACCCATATGAAGGCGCTCAAGTACATAATACAAGGGTAGTCAACCCCGTGAGGCAGCGGAAATGTTTGCAGTCCGGTCTTTTCCCTACCTCCACCCTCCTCCCGCCTACACTGCCCGCGCTAGGCCAAGTGCCAGCTTAGGTGTCACGAGCTAAGCATGTTTATCTCAATTCTTTTTTCTAAGCTCGAGTGCATCGCAGGGAAAATCTACGCATATACCGTTTGAAATATGAATAATCTTGTTCTTATCCTGTAGATATCAAATCCTGTTCCTGTTCCCTTCATAAATTAAAATAGGCTCAAAATAAGCACAAAAAAATAATTTGAAATTTAAAAAATTAACATGGACTTTATCGGTTGTCATGCTGGTGACAAAATAACAACGAAATATAAACAGAAAACCAAAACAAATTGGAGAAATTCCAATCACATGTTTTATTTACAGCGTGGGGTGAAAATAGAAAAAGCTTGTTCATTATAATAACTTTGGTCGAGTTTTCGACTACTAGACGACCTCCAGTTTGTAATTAAAATTCCATTTAATAGTGCACCGGTACTCAAATGTGTAATATGTACGAGTTGTTCTTTTACAATCGCGAGGGTAATAAAGTGATAAACTATTATGTAAAGGCTGTAATTTAACAAGCTTAAAAACTAATTAACAAAATGTAGCAAATTTGGAGAAGTATTTTTTTACACGTTAAATCCAGATTGAGCAGTCCTATACTGTAGTAAACAAAGCGTAGGCTACACACATGACAAAATAATACTATTCCTAGAAGGCTTCACATTTCTTTTCGTTTTACTGCACTAAGAAGGGGGGAAAATACTATAAGATGAACAGTATACACGAAAAAAGAAAGACCATCGAGTTACACTGTAAAATACAGTATGGAAAAACACGTGGGGTTTTAACGTATTCAAGCAAGAAACGAATAACCTACAAAGGCAAGGGCATTCTGTTGAGGTTGAGGTATGTAGCAATTTGTGAAGGCATCGCGTGCTACAAGATTTCTGTTTTAGATCAAGGTGTAGCATTCGTGTCAAGTGAAACTTAACACTCTGAATGACGTGTGTAGGTAAATGAGTTAGTACGCGTTGTGCGTGTTACGCACGTTACGCAGCGCCGGCCGGGCCCGAAACGGCACACCCTATACATCTAACACCTCCGCAGATCCGGGGGATGGTGGTGACTGGTGACCGAGGTGTCTCAAGTAGGTCAGGTTCGATCTCTCAGCTGAAAATGGCCGCCGGGTCAAGGGTAAAGGATCGATACGACCCGAGGAAAACACCTGGAGCTACCGCACGGCTTCTGGGGCCAGAGGGGCGAAGACCTACCTGGACATAACCAGCAGAGCACGAGGACGACCGCCGGGGAGAGCGAGATGAACCAAGCACTACAGTGCTTCATGGCGGAGCACGGTGACAGGCGACAGACGAGAGGCGACTGACGGTTCCGACACGGAGCGGGTGACGAGGGGAGCGCCTGCGCCACACGGCTACACACCACCGTGCGACTAACTAACTACCCCGCGCCCCGACAATCACTGGATACATAACTCTCATGGTTATAGAAATCCTTACCTACCTTAACACACTAATTATCAGATTCTCCGTTTCTTCTTTGAGTTCTCCGTGACCCGATAATTTACCGATCCCGGAGTTGGTTTAGGAACGGAGTTTACGCAGAAAGTTCCCCAATACAATTTTGTTTATGTTTTATTCTTTTCTCATTTTATAGTAGGTATTATAACAAACAGATATTGTTATAATAAGTTAATTTGCACAATCGAATTTTAACGTCATACTGTTTACGATAATTGTTTCTAGTAATAAATAGGTTATTGCACTTTGGAATTATTATACACGAGGTGAAACCCGTCGAAATCGACGGTTATTTTCAAGGATTACGCTAATTCATCTAACTGCGATAAATTGAGTGAAATTGTACATATTTTGAGCATTTAGCATTGTTTAAAGATTAATAAGTGTAAAAACAATAATGATAGTTACCAAATATATCATAGATCATTCAATGGATAAAATATCTCCTATACTGTACGTCATCGGAGTTATTAGTATGTTATCTGGTATCTCATCGTTTGGATTAAACTTTAAATAGTATTAAAATCGTATTGGTGGATCTTTTGTAGTTAAACACTTCCGTGATTTCATCAGTGTAATGTAGATTAATCTATGATTTTATTTGAAAAAAAAAAATCTGTTTGTTGGGAAGACACGTTCTAACTTCAAAGGGAGATATCCATTACAGTGTAAGTTTGATTTTTCCTTCGTCACGTCGCGTCAGTTCATATCGTACTTCTGTGCTAATGAATAACCCTCCATCACAGTTTTGAGAAATTTGTTGTGGGGTTACTGTTAAAGCTGGAATTCCTTGACATGGGGGATGTCAGTTAGTTGTCTCAGCCATATCAATTACATTAAGTTGTCAATATAATCTCTCTACGGAATGTGAGGTGTAGTGGAATATACTTGAAGTGAAGTTGGCTTTTATTCTTAAACTGTTAGGGGCCTCCTCATTTATATGCGGCTTCATTGACAACAAATAATGCAAATGATATAGCAATGGGACATTTCCAAAAATCAAAAATACTGTAAATTTGCTGTTACGTAAATATTGACGTTTACATGCATTGTTAATCAACGTATCTTATAAATGATGATGTTTAAAAGGAATATGACCTTTCTGTCACGACAGTAGCTGCTTAAATATTATTTACTCATTGGGCCATATTTACAGCTAAAATGTTGTGTTATTTTCAATAACATATGGGTAAGTTACATATATTTTTTTGCTGCTGATCAGTGCACTTTAAGAATATATATTTTGGAGATAAATTAAATGGTTTTTGTTGCAGAGTAGCGCTAGTAAACTTGCACAACCCTTTTCGTTAGTCTAATAACATTCAAAGGCTCTCTAAGAATTAAAGTTCTTATTTGTATAGGTATATATCTATATTATGTTTTCACTAACCTGAATGAATACATCGAAGTAACCTCTCTGAAAAGTCTTCAGTATATTGCAGTTTTCTAGCTTAATGACTTTATTTATCATGCAAATATTTCTACATAAATATTGTAAAATGTTTTATCCAGTTGCTGTAAACTACTATTAATTTAACAAAATATGGACACGGCTCAAATAGGCACCGTGCCCTTCTGCACTTGTAGGCTATTATTTTGTATTGTATTACGCAATTTAATATTTTACCAATGATTGAAAACATGTATGACAATAATCTCATGAACCTATGATGATCTGTCTAGAACAATATGATAAAAATAAAGACAAAAATTGTGAAAAGGGCAGTCACCAACCCGTAAAATGGATAAGGTCAATAAGAAATAATTTTTAGAGTTACTGTGATAAAAGGATTTTCCACTGATTTCGTCATGGTATATATTGCAAAACATAACATGATACAGAAAAAATTAATTTTAATATCAGAAAATAACATTGCAAATGCTTCTTTTGGACAATTCAGTAACTCCCAATTAATGTGTCTTGTTTAAAATACAATTTACAAATTAACAGCTGTTTCATAAAAAAGTATTATCCACATGGCCAAAATGTAAACAAATCTGTAGAGGGATCTTTAAAGGCTTCTGGGGCAGAGCCCTAAGGGAATTTACTTCGTTTTTCTTTTGATAACCCATCTACAGACCAAGACCTTTCTTTTGACACCCCTACCAAGTTTCTACGCCCAGCCGTTCTCTCAAATTATTGGAGACAAAGTTTCCAATTAAATTTTTAGATTCCCCCATGTTATTCTTATGGGAGAAAATCCAACTTTGATGGAAGATCCTACCCAAACTAATAAAGATATCAAAAAACGAAAAACACTGTGCAAAACTACAGATCAGGGCAATTCTTTTGACACTTTAATCATCAAAATCGGTCGAAAAATGAGGGAGGAGTTCTGTTCACAAAAATTGGCTTAGCGTATTATATATATAGATGGTGGAACAAAGTTAGTTTTACAAATTCGTATGTGTTAATTAATCTTTCCTTTCCAATTCATACTTTTATTGGAATGGTTAAGTGCGTAATATATACAGAATGTTTATAACAGCTGGTAGTATTGGTGACAAAATGGCACTAATTTAGATTTCCATACCATCCATCACATGTAGGAAATAACATACAAATTAAGATTTTTTTAATATTTGTATTTGCTTCAATAAAATTGCCATAAGTGCAATAAAAATTGATTTTATTTAGAATTTATTGTAATTTTCATAATCCTCATTAAATTTCCGAAAGTAATACTACAGAGTCATTGAAATGAAACATCTCTATAAGCTCTATAAGTTCGCTTAATTCTGCAATGGAAGTTTGAATTTGTGATTTTTGAGAAAAATGCAAACACTTTTACACAAGTAGTTTTTCTACGCTAAACTGGACTAATAGAGAGTGTCAAATATTATATAGCTTCTTTAGTAATAACCTTCAAATTAATGTATACAAACTTACTGTTTATTTGATTTATTGTTCTTAAATTTAAGAGTTTCTTTTGAAAAAACTCGAAACGAATTTCCTTTATAAAACATGTAGAGTATAAAATTGGGTAGAGTATAAATTAAAATTGGTTAGAGCCTTTAAGTTAGTCAGGTTTGCCCCATTTTACTATTAAAAATCGTAATATTTCAGCTATTTCTGATTCGATTCTTTTAAACTTAGTATCGTTTGATAGGGAATTAAAAATGCTAAATAAAAGTGTACTAAATTTGTTTTCATAAAATCAGCTATTTGTTAATAATTTATGTTTAAAACTTACAATGACCACCATTTTTAAATTTTAGGTTGAATAAAGATGAATTTTTTTCTAACTTGGGTCTCTTCTACCTTAACATAGGCTACACAATCAAGTTTCATAACGATCGTCTAATGAAAAAATCCAAAAATAAAAATGTTTATGTAAAAAATACAAAGTGGCGGATATCTGGTTAACAAAGCGATTTTGGGAAAAAACTTTATTCTTGATTGTCACTTTATTTTTACCCAAGGAACCACTACGTAAAATGTCCCCACCTTTTATGAACCACCTGTATATATTACGCACTTCCCCATTTCAATAACGTATGAACTGGAAAGGAAAGTATTATGTCGACCCCCTGAAGCTAAATAACTGTTTCAATACAGTCCCCTTCCCATAGAATTCCACTAGGGGTGTCAAATGAAGAGGGATCACTTACTGTTTGCAACAAACTATTGGTGTTAGGGGATTTTTTCATTTTTACTCCTATCTTTATCCTTTAGATCCTCTCATGTGCTACATTGTCCGTATATTATATAATATGACTATATGGTCTGAAGTATTAAAACCAATAAAGAGAAAACACATTTCGTCATTTGACAGTTGAACAACTATTCCAGATATTTACAGTAGTAATTAAAATTAACTTACATGACTTCTGTTTTCACAGTAAAATATTTTAGTTTTTCATGTTGGCTTACCGGCACTTAATAAGTTGAAAATATTTTCCAGCGTTTTTCAACCAACCCACAAATAATTTTTTTAACCCGATTCTGTTGTTGGTTGTTTTTCCTCACAGATACTCAAATCTAATGAAAGTGGTACCATTTTTATTTTGACTAGCCGAACCGTGCGAAGAATCACACTAAATCCTTCTCAAATCCGACTTATTGAAGTGCAAAACATAGACCCTACTGTACTTCATACTGCGTAGTAAGTTGTGCATCGTTGATTTTAGGAATAGATGTGGGTTTAGACATAGATAAAACATACAAATAACCCACTTTAGATAAATAAAAATTTTCAAAGTACAATTTTAAGTTATTTACCTTTTTACATATTTACAGGACCTAATTGAACACTATATTGGAAGTGATAATACGGCCATATACGATTTTTGTTTTGACGCCTTGTTTTTACACATAGTTTTCACTGAAACACCGCACCCTTGACAAAGTCAAAAAAACAGTCTGTCTATATGAATTTATTTAGGTCATAAGGGGAGGGGGTAACTTTAAAGGTAAATTCCTTCTTAGTCAGTGTTTGAAAGGATTACGGTCTTTTTGCGTAGTATGACAGTTTGACCGAAGTCAGCCAACTTCGCTTTCATAGTGTAGGTGTCCAAGTGAGCCACAACCAATCTTTGAAAATGCGTAGGTTTTTCATCAATATATGATAAAAAGAGTTCTTTTTAGCGTGGGTTTATGAGGTAACTAACCTGAAGGGCTTAAATGAGTTACAAATTCGACACAACATAACCATTCATTGAAACCTGTAGTAAATAAAAGATAAGAGAAGATGTTTAAAGATGGACTTCTTAAATACATATAGAATATGTATATCAAAATTAAGGCTATATTGTAAATAAAGAAATATAAAACGTAAAGAATCCATGCAGTACTTACTTTTGAGTTGTTCTTGTTTAGACTTCTTAAAGTGAATAATCTGTT